ATATCCCCAAGGGTCCCCGTAATCCTCGCTCCCACTTAACAAGAGCCCAGACGCCCACGTCAGGCTGCAGGTGCGAGGTCCCGATGCGCAGCGACACATTCCTCCCATCCTCATGCACGCCACCCGGGATGTCTACAACGGGCGGGCCAAACCGCGCAGCCAAAGACGCATCCCAGTGCTTGCGGTAATCGATGATTGCTGCGATGGTGGCTATGAGCTCCCCTGAGTCGACGATTGTCCAGCCTGCGATCGCACCTAAGGCGATCTCTGCATAAACACCACGTATCGCAGCTGCCAACACCAACAGCCCATGGCAACTCCACATGACCCTTCTAAGCTTGGCTCTGACGCGCCCCGAACCGGCTCCGCAGATAGATAGAAAGGTCTCGTGTGTATGCGTACCTGTGTAAAATGGGTTTTGTGTAGTACATACCACTCCACCTACATGCATACACACAACTCATACGACTACTGATGCGTATGTGATCATATGTATGTGCGTGTCTACTTGATGAGATTTCCCATCCGGTCTGGGGTCGAGTGTTGGAATAAGCGTCTCTCGGAAATCTGAGCCCATCTTGCTGCCTGTCGAGCCAAGGTTCACGTACAAGGCTTATCGGCGAAAAAGAATTGGGGAGGGTGTTACCCTAATGAAAACCTAGAGCCCTGAACCCTAAACCTGCCAGACTCTACTCCAGGAGTAAAGATCTAAGCTGTAACCCTTCTTACTCTTTTCATGGAGATGTTAAGGGAGGTGTGGTCAAGAGCTCGGAACTTAGCCAGTGCTTTGTCGCGAGTTTGCCGCGTGCTTTGATGCATCCATGGAATCGGGGATATGTTGCCCGGGCATTCGCTGCAGAAGCTTCGAGCTTACTACGCCCTTGCTAAGGACCTCGATAGCCTCGATGGCGTGCGGGTTCAACACCGGCCGCCAAAAACCCTCGACGTCCTCAAGTAGGCATCTCCGCCTAGCTGATGCCACTCTGGCCCCCCCCCCCCCCCCCCCCACACATCTCCGTGATCTTTGCGCTGTAAATCGTCCACGGCCCCAAACCGTTGACCCCAGCCATATGTTTTTGCTTCCAGCTCGTCGGAACCAACGGGTTTAAGAGGTACTAGACAAGTTATCTTTATAAGGTACCATATCAAGGTTGATACTGGAATAAAGTTACTACAGCGAGAATCCAGGTATTTGATAAGGCTGTGGAGTTTAGGGTTTATAGGGATTAGGATTCAGGTCCCTCTCTTGCAAAGACCATTAAGCATAAGCTTCGCAGACGTCACTGACCTTTGCTGCTCTCGGCTACACAATCATGCCTCTATGTGTGCTTGCATACACACAGGTCTCGCAACTTACAGCCTCCCTGTCCGCCCTTGCCACTTATGCGGCTCACGAGCGTCGCCTCTAGTCTCCCATGCATGAAGAGAAGCTGCCAAAGCTTCGACGGTGGCCTCAGTGCTTCCAACATCGACTCCTCATCTGAACCTTCTGCTCCTTCCGCTTCCGATCAATTCTGGCAGTGCTCCGTTTCAACAGCATTGGTGCTTGTGAGGGGAGGTGTCCATGAACGATGCCCGGGAAGACCACTTCAGCCAGGCCCTCCTCGCCTCGATGTCACGTGGCCAAAGGAGCGTCAGAAGGCTTCGCTTCTGGAAGTGGGGCGGTTGTTTCAATCAGCGGACCCAAGATCATGCCCCTGAACCAGGACTTGTCTTCAACTAAATGTGCGCGGCGCAGGGCATCCAGTTCTTGCTGCAATGTCAGTGGCATAGACAGCAGGGCTGCCCAGGACCTTTCGGCATAATGTCCTTCCTCAATGTTATCATCGCGCGACAGGGACTCTTCAAGCCGCTTCCAAACACCTGGAGGTGGGCTGGCGATCTGCGAGTACGTGGTCAGAAATACACCGCCATAGCACACAGGCACAACTGTCTGATTCTCCAAGAAGCTGTTGATGTCCATGGCCTCCATCCAGCTCACCATCGATGCGTATCCAGATCGAAAAGTCTGTCCTTCACGGCTCTGCGGCTTGTGCGAATGCCCGGCATATTGCTTCAGCGTGAAGTGACCCATGGCCTCCTTCAAGTGATACACCCCGGCTTGTCGACCATCATACCTGCGCCCTAAACCCTAAACCCTAAACCGTAAGCCCTAAACCCTAAACCCAAAGCCCTAAACCCTAAACCCTAAACCCTAAACCCTAGCCCTAAACCGCGTGCCCGGGTCAGGGGGCTTACCGAGAGGTGGACCAACCTGACGCGCAGAGAGCCCGGAAAGCCCCTGGGCCCTGTAAAGAGCCATGAACCTTCGATTCCAAGCCCTCGACCCAAAACCCCTATACCCTCAACCCCAAACCCTACCCTAAACCCTA